TAAACTTGAATCCCATCTGGCAAAGATTCAAAGGTAATTCCTTTTCCTCTCATAAAACTGAGCTCCTATTACACTCCTCTATGCCTAATGTATCTTCAAATCCTATAATTTTTTATACTACTACACTCAGGTCTCGTGCTTCTGTCTCTGTGTTTGTTGTTTCTTGCTTTAAGTTTAAAGTGCATGACTTATATTCGCTTTCGTTATTGACTAAATTTTCTGTCTATTACTGTTATCTTTGGGAAAGGTAGCGTGATTAAGTTTGTTTTGTGTGAAAAAAGGAAGCACAATTACTGTAAAAATTTACAGCCAAATGCAATTGAGATTGGTATTGAATTGGTAATTCTGTGGTGGGTTTTGGTTGAAATTTGACTTGCTTGAAGTTTCTGCGTTTCAACTTTTGTTGAGGTCTGTTAAGTTGTGATATTTAGTTCTGCATTGCTTGTTTGCTTCTGATATTTCATGGTTTGTGAATAGTTGAACAAAAAATCGGTTTTCAAAATTTATTTTTTATTTGTTATTTTTGTCTTTGCTTTAAAAAAAACAGAAATGAAATAGAAGAAATCTTTGAAACTGTAATATTGTTGGGAGTTTGTTTTAGGGAAGGGGTGTATACTGGGGTAAGTTTTCTCTTGTATGAGAAGGATATGTTAAACTAATTAATTCCTTCAATTGATGGAATAATTTAGATGTTTATTTAAGCTGAAATGGCTATACAGGTTGTTCCATATAAAATTGAGNGCCAGTGCGCATGCACTTGTTTCAGTTCTAAACTTGAAACCCATCTGGCAAAGATTCAAAGGTAATTCCTTTTCCTCTCATAAAACTGAGCTCCTATTACACTCCTCCATGGCTGATGTATCTTCAAATCCTATAATTTTTTATACTACTACACTCAGGTCTCGTGCTTCTGTCTCTGTGTTTGTTGTTTCTTGCTTTAAGTTTAAAGTGCATGATTTATATTCGCTTTCGTTATTGACTAAATTTTCTGTCTATTACTGTTATCTTTGGGAAAGGTAACGTGATTAAGTTTGTTTTGTGTGAAAAAAGGAAGCACAATTACTGTAAAAATTTACAGCCAAATGCAATTGAGATTGGTATTGAATTGGTAATTCTGTGGTGGGTTTTGGTTGAAATTTGACTTGCTTGAAGTTTCTGCGTTTCAACTTTTGTTGAGGTCTGTTAAGTTGTGATATTTAGTTCTGCATTGCTTGTTTGCTTCTGATATTTCATGGTTTGTGAATAGTTGAACAAAAAATCGGTTTTCAAAATTTATTTTTTATTTGTTATTTTTGTCTTTGCTTTAAAAAAAACAGAAATGAAATAGAAGAAATCTTTGGAACTGTAATATTGTCGGGAATTTGTTTTAGGGAAGGGGTGTATACTGGGGTAAGTTTTCTCTTGTATGAGAAGGATATGTTAAACTAATTAATTCCTTCAATTGATGGAATAATTTAGATGTTTATTTAAGCTGAAATGGCTATACAGGTTGTTCCATATAAAATTGAGTACTTATCTGTGCTTGTTGTAGAATTCTCAGCACTTATCTGTGCTTGTTGTAGAATTCTCAGCACTTATCTGTGCTTGTTGTAGTGTTCTTAGGCATTTGCCAACATGTATGTATCATAGGATAGTTGGGAGCTACTGGAATTCTGAGGAAGAAGCTGATGGTACTGGCTTCGTGAGAAAAAAACCACTAGAGTGATTCAATGTGCTGTGATTTGGGTTTGAGGGTGTTAATTGGCTTGAACCAGACTCGTGTGTTAAGTTCTAGTGATACTGACCCAAAATGGAAAATAAAGATATGAAACTTATACCCAGGTCATGTTTGGCACTTCCAATGGATAGCCTGATCTGTTAGAGTTGCATGTAGTTCTTAGGAAGAAGCAGAGGAGCTGATGGTGCATTTTTTGTGCCTTTTTTTTTTTTTTTCCTGGAAAAGCACTAAAGGATGCAAGAAAAATCCAATTTGTAGTGATTAAGCCAAAAGGTGTTGGCGTTGGCTAGCACATGACTTATATGTGACATTTAGGAGATATCAACACATATGGGATATGCAGAAATGTAAAGTTACAGGCTGGTCATGTTTTTGACCAACTTATAATCGGATAAGTTATAAACTGAAGTTGTCCTAAGGGAGAAGCTTATAGTATTTGTTGTATTTGCTGCCCCAGAAAAGCAGAAAGACCATAAGAGAGATTCAGGGTGCAGTGGTTGAGCAAAAAGGTGTCAATGTTGGATTGTGTTCAGTGATTGAGCTAAAAAGTGTCAATGCTGGATTGTGCAAGACTTATTGAGACATTGAAGTTATTAATATATTATGCAGAAGCAAAAAAAGAAGCTTATAGCCCCACCATTTTTGACACTCTTCCTATGTGGCCTACTTGGGCTCCTCCAGCAGAATTTTTTTTTCAGTCAAAGCCTTCTGCTTGATTTGAATGTGACGTTGTCTAGGCTTCCATTATGGGTTAGCTACAAGGACCTCTCTTTAGAGATGTGGCTCAGAGTATCTGTGTGTGTATTCTATACTTTAATAATATAGGCTGGTTTCAAATAGTGGTGACGCTTTAACTCAAACCTGACATGACATGGTTTTGCGATCTGAAGAGCCAAGGAATCTGAGTTATGAGATCATGTAATTGTGAAGTTGCATCAAGCTTGACTGTCTAATGCTGAACCATGCCGATGATGGAATGCTCTTAGCATAACAAGCTTATGGTGTAAAACTAATGTTTAGAGGCTCATCTATACCAGTTAGAACTGGCACAAAGATCACAGAAGGTTAATTTAGGACTTGTATTGGAAGTCAGTTTTGAAGAAGTAGTAGTTCATGATTTAGTAGCTAGAAACTAATCTTAAGATTTATATCAAAATATATGCTCAGGTTGGTGACAGCTTTCTTGAACTTTAGAATCCCTTCAGAGCTACTTGTATAAGCACAGGGCTGGAAGTGTTAAGCATGAGATAAAATTTGTCTGATATATATAGCACATTTTTCAAGTGGAGCTTGTCTCTCTGAAAGGTTTCTTTTGGAAAAAGTAAAAAGAGAATATTGGGATAAGGTATCTGTTGTATCTTTTATTTATTAGTTTCAAACCGCATATCTGTAGCACCAGTGCAATGCAATTCACTCTTTAAGAATTGACCTCTCATGTAAATAAATAAACAATGGATAATTTACACAGCACTATCTTTTTGTATGGTTTTAACACAGCAGCAGCACATAATCTATTTGACTTCCGTTGGTTCCCTAGAAAGCAAGTGTCATAGAAATTGTTAGATGAATCCAATCCAAGGCAATGTGTGACACAATTAATCCATCTTCTCCCACTTGTTTAAACACTATGCTTTATCTGAATTATTTTTGTTTGTCCTTAATTTGTTAGACCAACTGTGATCTTCGTGAGCATGGCTTCTATTCATACATTGAACCAAGATTAGACAACTTTTTCGTTTCATAATATTGCTACCCTATGATTGAATTTTTTCTTGGCACATACATATCTTTTCACATAATTGATTATCGTCGACTTTCTTTCTATAAGAATATTATGACTACTTGCTTTTAAATATTCTTTTTAATTAGTGTGTTTAACGATGGTTTTTGGTTATAATATAAGCTGCTAATGATGTTACTTGGGTCTTTATTATTGACTTTCTTTCTATTTGATTCCTAATCAACAACAGGATGTATGTAGATATGATACATGATCTAATTATTAATGGTTTTATAATATTTGTCTTCTGTTCTCTAATTAGTTAATAGAAGAATTCAAAATCCTTAGATTGGATTGCTGAATTCCCTCAAATTAGATTATTTGGAAGGCTTATGATTTTTTGTCAGTGTTTTTATTTTGAGTTAGCAGTTCACTAGCAAGACTATAATTTAGGGAACTGAAACAACCTGCACCTATTAAAGTTTATATGAATTAAAATTCATTTTGCATATACCCTGAAGGCCTTTTTTCAGAACTTTAACTTCAGATGATTGGTAATCTTAACCTATTTGCTGTGAATCAACCAAGCTAATGCTAGATGGAAATCATCTTTACTGTCTGGGGTGTCCTTCGGTGATGATACTGACTAGGTGCAAATTTCAGTATTCTGAACAGCTAAATTTTTACAGAAGGTGGTCTTCTTTTTGGGTAGAGGATTGGTTGATTTTTAGCAGGTTCCCATGACCATGTCTGTCATCATTATGTCAGATGGAGTAGAGTTTGGTAAATTATGGTCATATAGATATAGACAAAACTTTTTATACTTTAGTCTTCAGGGTTCATATCAAATGTCTGGTCTACTGTAAGTAATATCAGATCAAGTCAGTCTCGCCTAGAAAGATATCAGAATGCGGGATTTAGGCTTATATGGGATAGTCTGCACCACCTTGAGTTGACACTGAGCGCTGGTTTCACTTGTTTTCATTAGCCCTTGTTCTGTAAATAGTGTGAGCTAGATTATAATTTTTGTTTCTTTACCGAAGTGACAGGTGGCAATGGTTCTGTTTTTTTTCAGACCACAACTATTAATTTTCTTAACGTAGAATCTTTCAAGTTCATAAGTTATGCTCTTGACAGCTGGTTGGTTTAAGATTTTGAGAACTGCAGAACAAGAATAAAGTGACCCATTGAATCAAGCATATGATTTGGAAAAACGCATATTCTGTCAAACACTTGATGTACATTGACAATGTAATTGAAGGTGAAGTCAAGAATTTAATTCTTTAGTGCCTCAAGATTTTCCACCGCTAAGCATGAAATGTTTTTTAACCGCAAGTAGTCAACATAAATGCATCATCATGATCAAACGATTGCATTTCCACAGCATGTCAACTTGTAGATGCTTTGACTGCTTAGAGTTTTGATTTTTCCTCTTTGGTTTCTCATTAGTCATTACATGCAAGTTATTTTTGAGGTATTATTTCCTTTAAGCCCTTGTTATATTTGTCAATATTTTTTCTTTTGAACTTACAAAATAATTGGCTCAACAGGTTGGAAATATGGAGACATCTGAATAGTGAATGCTGAATTTAAGTCGAATGATTCCTACAAATTATCTTAAAACTCATTACAGCGGAACGGCCAAACGACGTCCATGACTTGGTTACAGACCCAACAGGTCTTTTCATTTACTTCTAAAAGCCCTAGACTCAATTTCTTCACAGAACAACATTGTTTGACATATTATAAAAATTCTACATCTGCCTTTATTATTATTCTTGACCTCACAGCAGAAAAAAAAAAAAAAATTATATATCTATGCTACATAGGATGGTAATCTACTCTTTATGGTTGTGCGTTCTAGTTATAGAAGACTCTTAAACAAAGTGGAAGGGGGCTGTTTTGCAGGCTGCAGAGACCTACCAATGGATTAATCAAGGCCAATTCAGCTGTTCCCAGTCCCATAGAGGTGGTTCTAGATTATCAACCATCCTCCAACTGGTATCTCCTGTAGTCTCCGGGAGATCAATATGGTCTTCTCCGGAGTATGACGTTTCTGGTGAGCTTGTCCTTGCTACCATTGTGGTATCCTGAGTTGATGTTGTAGCCCCATCACCAGGAGGTCGTGTCTCTCTTGCTGAAGTTTCTAATGGACGTCTATCAAATGCTCGAAAGCTTCCTGATACCACATAGACTCGACACAAACTGAATTCATGCCGTAGCTACATTCAAGAAGGGGTGAACAAGCAAAAGGTTAGAGATGGAAGATACACGAATATTTCTGCAACTGAATAGCTGTAAGTTTATATTTACCCTTGGAATAGCATCCGTAGATGGATTGGCTCCTCCTTCAATGGCTCTATATTCGTTCATTTTCCATTTGGTTTTTCTCCCAGTTGGAGCCTTTCCCTTATAGAAAACCATTGTCTTCTTCACTCCAATTACTCGGTTATCAGAGGAGTAAACATAATTTGGAGAACCCGTTGCCTTCCAGTACCCAGAGGCGGTAGTTCTGCTGGGTCTCCCACCCCTTGCTTCCCTCTCTTGTCTTGGCGTGAAGAAAAACCACTGCTCAGTGTCTTCTTGACATGGCCTTCCAGAAAGCTCTGCATGCAACATGTCAAAATTGAAAATTGCTTACCGCAACATCAAAAAGAAGAGAAACAGAAAAGTATTAGAGGAGTTATTTGTACTTGGAAGCTGCCATGGCTCCACGTCGTAAAGGTTGATAACCGGAATGACAAAGTGCAGCTCCTGTTTCTGTCCTTCAAGCTGGTTGAGTAGATAGAAGGAGACTAACTCCTCTTCGGTTGGATAAAACCGAAAACCAGGTGGTAGATCCTCCATTTGTTGGTGTTTGTTAAGTTGATATGTTTGTTAAGTGGTTATAAATATATATATACATAGAGAGAGAGAGAGAGAGAGAGAGAGAGGTGCTTTGCATAAGAAGAGAAATGCGAGTGAAAGGTTAGCCGAGTGAAATGAGAAAATTTTGAGGGATGGGATTGGTGGAAACTTCCACGCGGTTGTTCAAAGAAGACAAATGCTCGTGTGTCCTATTATATAAATATAAAATTACACACAAATCTGTGTTTGAACTAGTCAGATACCTTTTTCTTCCGTGTATTGCCAGCTCAGATTTTCTTTTTTCTTTAACTATATATTTAAGGTGATTTTTGCTGATGAATGTGACGAGACTTGCTGAAATAAGCACCTTCAAATTGGGATTTGGTTTGTTCATCCCATGCCGGGGCCGTCAAGGCAGTCTCTCTGAAAAACTATCTTGTACGTTCTTCCAAACTATGACGTGGTTCGAATATATATAGCTAACTTAATCATCTTAATGTTTTTTTTTTGAGTAAACGACATGTTCCCACCCAAGGTTTGACGAAATCTCAAGTCAGTACCACTGGTTTCATTTATTCCAGATTTTCACCCTTAAAATAACGGAAAAACATTTGATGTAACGGTAAAGGGGTAAATTGGTCATTTTACATGGGCGGCGCACGTTAGCAGACCACCGCCTCTAACAGTCCTCCGGCGCACGTTAGCAGACATCGTTCCCGACGTTTTTCGCTCTTTTCCGGCGATTCTTCCATCCAAAATCACCCTAGTAACCACCATTTGAACCCCCATCCTCCCCTCTACAAAACCATACCATTCACAACCCCTCATCACTCGCCGATCTCCGGCCACGGCGACGAAAAACGGTCGATGAACACGAACTCTCGGCCGGGGAATGACGACGAAACGGTTGCTGGGGACATAGGGGTTTTATAGATTTGGGGACGGTGGTTGCATTGGTGGTGTCCAATTGGATTTTCACCACCGGAATCGACCGGAATCCGGTGAAGAACACCAAAACCCTAAGCCTAACAGTGCTAGCGATTGGATGGGCAAATGAGTCGGGAACCAGAGGGGTTTTGGACGACGGACTAGGGGGAAGGTGATGGAGGTGACCAGGGGGTTTGACGTCGCCGGAAACAGCCCAGATCTGGCTGTTTCCGGTGAGGGTTAAAACATAATTTTAATTAATTTAGGATTAAGGGCATTATGGTAATTATACCCTCTAAACCCTAAAAATTCATAATACTGTTACTTTAAGGGTGTGAATCTGGAATAAATGAAACCAGTGGTACTAACTTGGGATTTCGTCAAACCTTGGGTGGGAATATGTCATTTACTCTTTTTTTTTTTTTAAATTGGAAGGTTTTAGTGTAAAATTAAAGGACGTACTAATTATAGCCTTAATAAAACATGTTCTGTAACATATAATAATAGAATATGCCAGGCTTAATAGTTTAGTATTTAACAATTTGGTTTAACTATCAAAATTAAAGGCTTCCATTATTTTATGGCTGACTCTATCTTTTAAATAAAACTTTAACATTTTAGTAATTAAAATTAGTGAAGATCACGGTGTAATTTCTGAATTTATTTATATTTTTATGTATAATAATTTACTTTAGACAATTGATAGATTTTATTAAATTTCTGAATTTATGTATAATAATATATTTTAAAAAATTGATGGATTTAATTAATTTAGCATCATGATGACTGATGAGTGATAAAAGACTTTTCCAGTCTTGGTTTTGTAGTTGTGTGATCACTGTGATGTATTAGTATTTGCAGTCAAGGCACGTGGGATGATATAATTAATTGAAGAGGTTAAGTTTAGCAACCAATTGGTAATTTCACATTATATTCTTCATAAACCATTTAGTAAAAAATTACTCAAAACAAATTAACAGTGAAAGGTTAGCTTGAGAATTTCACATTATATTTTAAGGATAGAATTGGAATTTCACTCTTTGTTACCGTTACACTTATAAAAAAAATGCAATTTTGAGACCATATACTGAGATATTGACAAGGCGTAATGGAGTCAATCACGTGCAATGGTGTGCCCTATTGGTAGTTGGGAAAGACGGTATGAATTTGAGGGACTTGGAAAACAATTTTTAAATAATTATCATAATTAGTATTTGTTTAAGTTTGTGAATTGGGTATCATAATTTGATCAATGAAAATGAAAATAATAAATAAATTATTAAAGGTTTACTTTTTACGTTTGTTTTGCCAAAAAAAAAAGTTCCACATAGGTTGATGTCAACAAACACCAATAAAAGTTTAAGAAGACTTTGTATTGTCCAGAGTTTGTCACGTCGCCTAAGACAGAAAGAATATAATTATCAATAACCTAGCAAACTCAAGTTTTATCTGTAAATAAATTTGGTTCGCATACTTGTCCAAGCCTTATTTAATTTAATGATTTTTTCCTAAGTTATCAATCAATGGGACACTAGCAAGGATTTACACGACAGCTACCTATTTACAGATATGTAATCATTACCTTAAACTCAGTTGGTATAAATAGACAGCTTTTTTTTACAAAATCGAGATCAGACTCTTTGAATTTAACAAAGCAAATAGCAAAGATATCTTACGAGAAAGAGACTGACTTAATATTCTTTCTGAATATCAAACATTTATAATCGAGTTCGTAGTTCGTGATCTCTTGTAAACTTGACTAATAACCAATAACTCACTCATATAAAAGAGAATAATAAAGATAAGATTCGCTTTAAACATTAAAAATATTATAAAATTTTTATTGTCTCATTTATTTTAAGCCTTTATATGTTATGGTGATAACAATATTCCGTAATCAATTCTCATAATTAATCACATTTAATTTATCAGCGTCAACAATATTCAATGAATTTATAAAAGGATGAAAAATGAAGCGTAAATGCAATGTACTTTTGAGTATTGATAATAAATAAATAAAAGCTGGGTTTGCGATACAACTGGCAGTTGATATAGATGGAATGGGGGGATGACTGTTTATGGTCAATATTGCTTTGATTTTTTTGGTTCAATTCTCCTGTGATTTCAATACTACTGATATTGTACTAAGTATGAATCTGATAATATTAATGACTTATATGTATTTAAATACTTAAGCCTAGAGTAGTATGGTTAGGATAAACTCATACATTTTCCAATTACGTGACATAAAGTTAGGACCTTTGAAAGATTCTACTCTCACTAGTCTCTATATACAAACTCAGTATTCAGTTTCTTGGATTACAAGCATTTGACAATAATATTTTCTGTATATACGCTATAATCATTTTCAAAAGAAATGTCCAAAAATAATGTACAAATAACGAAATATGTACTCTTAACTTTTTCTCATACCTAAAAGAGAAACTTTGAATATAACCATTTTTTTTATTAATTTTAATTCTCGAGATATTTATTCATAAAATAACGTAACTTAAATCTAATTGTCTTCAATAAAAAAACGTTGAAAACATGTTATTACTAATTCTAAACGCCCTTTACCGTAAATAAAGGGTTTTTACGGGTTCCAATTAGATAAAAGCAAAAGTTACGATTTGAAGAAGACGGGTTATTTGAATGGCAGACACAATGAAGATATGCAGATGTAGGGAGTTAATAAAAAACAGGCATGCAAAGTCCTTTGTTTAACGAAAAAAGAGAAGACCGAGTCGTGGTCGGATTTGAAGGGGACATTTTGACAGCTGGAAAAATAATTAGAGTTTAGAAAATAAAAAACGTTTGTTGTAATAACTAATAAGATAACAGAGGGGACGCGTAAAGAGAGATATCCCAAATCTTAATGAATTAAGAGGCTTTATGTTTTACCTTTTCAATTTCCAAGAAGCGCGTAAAGTTGAAGCGACAAAACCTCAGCCTCGTATTATGAATAATCCGTGCAAGAAAGAGCAAGAGTATACGTCGTTTACTTATCTTGACTCTCTTAACGCCACTTGTGGATGATTCATCAGATTTGGATGGTGATATGATATCACATTACACTATTACCTCTTCACCCTTGATTTTTGAACATATATCTATCCCCTTCATATTAGTCTCCATAGATTTTAACTCATAGACGGAGCCAGAGGGTTCAAATATGGTCACTTGACCCCCCTTGATTCTGCTATATTTTTCCCTTTTAGATTTTAGTTTCTCACTTTAGTAAACTCAAATATATTTATATTAAATTGACTATTTAATTTTGCTAAATTTTCCACAAAGAACACTCAATATATCCCTATACAATTTTCATACACATAATATGTGATCAAGTCCAAATTGTCCAATGACTTTTAGGATTTGATATCTTTTATTAGTTGCACAAAGAACAAAATAGGGTAAATTTTTTTTTTTTTCTTTGTGCATATGCTTTCTATAATAATTAATATTAGATAATTCTTTCTAAAACTTGTTAGTTAAATTTAAGTACAACACAAATTGTTTTGTTTCTCAATTTTACAAGCAAATATTAGGAAACAAAATCATGATAAAATGTTGAATGTCATTACAAAAGGTAATATTTTAAAATGAAAATTAGCTAAATGAAACTTTAAAATAGTTATTCTTATGATTTCTATTTATAGGCTAAACTTTAAAATAAATATTTATAGGATTTCTATTTGACAATATTGTATACTTATCAAATATAATTGTAGATGTTTTAATATTTTATACTCGTCAAGCACAATTATAAATACATTGATTTAAAAAATAATTAAATATCAATAAAAAAATTAAGATTAAGATTAATAAATGTTTTTAAACTTAAAAAACAATTAAATATCAATAAAAAAATAAAAAAATTAATTTGATAATTTTTCATTTTTTTAGGTTTCTTTTTTCTTTATTAAATTTAACTAAAAAAAAGTGACGTCTCTGAAAACTTTGTAGATTTAAAGTTTTTATGGTTTTATATTCTTTATTGATTTTAAATTTAATTTTTATTCCGTTTCATTAGAATAAGACAATAAGGGCATAATAGATTTTACACAATAAAGTACTAGACAGATTTAATGATGACAAATTATTGTAAATTGATGGGGATTACTAAACTATCGGTTTGGCCTAAGGAAAC